ACTGTTGTTACTGTAGTAGACCTAACTCTATGATCCAAATGTTTAGTTTAGCTTAGATCTGTATTAGGTTTAAGTTTGAAAACAATTATATTCCTCGTATGTCAATTTTGATTTTTCAATAAAGAATTTAAAAATCAGCATATCGGTACTTATCCCTTTACCGATATGCTGTTTTTTTTAAACCACAACAATAACCTTGAAAATATCGATCCACCTAACTTTCACACCTCAGCATGTCGTCATCATGACGTCACCATACCGTAACCCACCACACCACGTGCTAGGTCACGCACCATTACCACCAGATGCTTAACCGTCAATTAAGCACCACATGGCTCTTGTGACGTCACTCCCCAGCAGCCCTATGTATCCACTACTCATTTGGTCACAGTATTAGTCGAGTAAATCCGTACGAGAACCCTAAAAAAATTGCTTTAAATTGTTTTATTGGTTATTTTGACTTAGAATTATGTGTATTTTCCAGGAAAAAAAGTCTAATAAAATCAGAGTCTCGGAAGTCCAAAATTCAAGATGGCGTCCAAGATTTTGGTCAAATGTGTCCGTTAGCACAATAACTCAAGCAAAAATTATCCGAATTCGATGAAATTTGGTACAAACATGTAAACCTACATTTATTTGAACTCGCCACGAGTTAACGCGAATTAGCATGATCGGACCATGGGAACAGGGGTTTATGGGGTGTTTTATGGGGTAAAAATTGGTTTTCCCCATTTTTGACCCTAAAAACGTAAAATTTTGCAATTTATTTCGAAACCATTTTAGGGCTCAGAAAAAAACAATTTAGTACATTGAAGCGTTGTCATGGGCCTAATACATAGTTACGGATAAAATTTAAAAAAAAATTTAATTTAAAATTCCTATGTTATTCTTACGGAGAATAAGAAAACTGGTTGTAGTTAGCCTGTATATGAGTATATTTTTATAAAATTTGGAAAATGCATTTGTTTTATACTAAACAATTAACATTTTACTAAAAACACTTTTTTACCCTCCATGTTGCAGCAAACTGAAGTACTAGTTAAACTAGTGCTATTTAAATAGGGAATAAATGTGATATTTTTAATGTGATATTTTAGTGTAAATTCAATCAGGAAAATTGAAATTCGCTTAGGGTGCAGGTTTGCTGTGGCGGTTGTATTTTAATTTATGACTATTTTTTGCTTAAAAAATCCAATAATAGGTCTTAAAATAAAGATCACACAAAAACTTGCTAAAATTCAACATACATTTTTTTTTTTTTTACTTAAATAAAGATCTATAAATTTTTAGCCCGAAAGGATTTTTTAGATAAGAATAGGCTTGTATTAATCGGGAATCTGAGCTATCATACTGCCACATTTCAGCCCTACGGACCAGTAGTTAATGCGTGATTGAACTTCAAACAAACAAACTGCCACATTTATAATATTAGTAATAGTATAATATAGTCACACTTTCTTATGGTTAGTAGTAGAGCATTATACAAATAATAATTCATAATTTTCATCAAGTTGTACACTGTTATGATCACTTTACGAACTGTCACATTGTTCCCCAATCTGGTTAAGTCCACAAGCTGTAGTACAAGGTAACCCATACTTTGTTGCAGGAGCATTGCAAATTCTTGCAGCCAGTAGAGTAGTTGCAGTGAACAAATCTTAAAAGAATCTCTGGAGCGGCACTTTGGGTCATCGAGTCGTTTTTATTGTTTATTTTTTCCAGCAGAGCATCTCAACATTATTTTTTTACATTAATTGGAAAAAATTCTTCAAATGAATAATAAAGCTTTCTTTTAGTTCTTTAGTTCTTTTTTTCTTTCTTTTTTTAGTTCTTTTAGTTTTCTTTTTTAGCAGTTGATTCACTAGATTTATGAAATAATTTTGGTTTATTTTCACATAAATTCAAACACCACTGCAATGACCCCCCGCAGTCTATGATTGTATTTGATGGTTGTATTTGATTGTAGTATGATTGTATTTGGTAGGAAAATGATTCAAAAATTTTAATCCCATGAAGGTTTCCTTTGTTTTAGTTTTTTCATAGAAGCTGAGATTGATAAATTTATATAAATTTTATTTCTAGTTTCATATGAATGGACTTTTTTCTAATTTCCAAATTTTGTTTTAAAATTCAGGGACAAATTCATATATATATTTCTGACTTACTACCGCGAAATGGGGAGTTGCCTTCATAATAATTAATAATAATTTTAACCTTTACATACATTTGGTTCTCAAAATGGAAACTATATCAGAATTCGTAAGATTACAAAACAAATTTTCAATTTTAAACTAGAAAAGATGTGCAATGTTTGGCAATATGATTTTAGCTCTGATTCGTCGCTCTCCGATGTTGTGTTATTGATTTAATCATTATTTATTTTACAATTGTATTTCATTGACACATCAGAAGCAACTAATATACGACTCCAACGGAAGGAAAACCAAGATATAAAAAAAGAAACACTGTTATTTTAAGTAACATAAAATTGATAATTTTAAAAACATATTTCGAATATTTGTCTTTTTATATATGGTTTTTTTATTGTAGTCTAAATTAGGGGCTATGGCCAAATTTACATACTACAGGCCACTAGTTATAGTACATATTTATTTATCAAACAGTCAAAATGTGTAGTTTTGAAAATTGATCTTTTACAGTTATCGTTTGTCTAAGTCTGGTATGATTCTTATAGCATTTTTAGATTTTCAGAACTGTATCTAAATTTTTTGGGCGTTCCTCCATAGATTGCCAGGCCATAAGACAAAATATTTTTATTTTAGAATGTCCAGGTTACATTAGTGACACTGGCCTAAAAACATATAACCCTGAAGAAAGTTTTTGTATCATGATTTGTGTATATTTAAGATTTGTGTCTAGGTCAAGTCCTAAAATTGAGTATGCTTAAGATCTCCTATTTTTTACATGGTAAAAAAGGGATTTTCCCATTTTTCATTGTACAAAGTTGCAATTTATTTCCAAACCATTTTTAAGAGATCATAAAAACAAATAATTTAGTATACAGAAGCGTTGTTGTATGCCTAACGGTTACGGAGAAAATAAAAAAGTGTACATTTAAAATGACCATGTTATTCTTATGGAGAATAAATAAAGTGTTAACGCTTGCTTGTCTATGGAAATATTTTAGAGAAATTTGGAAATTTTGGCCAAATTGAAAAAACCCGATTTCCGAGACTCCGATTTTATTAGACTTTTAGTATGTAATTTAACATACTTTTTGGAAATGAAAACCATCAAAAAACCTTTTAGAGCAATTTTTTTAAGGTTAAGGGAGTTTTTTTCATATCTTGACTAGACTATATGACAAACCGGTATGTTATTCTTGGACTTGACATGATAAAAGTCAGTAATTTTATCCACACAATGACAATCTATATACTCTAACCTCAAAATGGACAGCGCCCGATGACCGGTACGCAATCCGCAGCGCACGTGTATAGTTTGTATGCATCGTCAGCTGTGAAGGCGCGCCTGCTGTAGTGTGCCAACATTGTTGCCTACACAATAGACACGGCACGCTTACAACAACTACGTGCGTTTAATGTATGGATGCACACGAACCTACAGCCTGCGTTACACATGGAGAATATACAATTTAAATGTGTTAACTACGTATCTATTAACTTTTGTTTCACCCTTTGAACCTCAAGTGCTATTTGGTTGTTCAATTATTGTTAATCTATATTCTTATTAACGTAAGGGATTTCGTTGTAACATCCCTTTTCCATTCGTCTTACACAAACGATTTTTACGATTGAGTTGTCATGTACATCTTATGATCTAATGGAGGGACCAATGGTTACTAAAAGGGTAACATCATTTAGGGCTTCACTCTTGTATTATAACCACTGACCATTCGGATGAATGTTTAACCAAACTCCGATGATAAACAAGAGACGAATGGTTGGTAAATTGATAAATTGGTTTTATGTAGCCCAGGATACGTTTAGTGATAATTTAAAACTGATAGAGGTAAGCTAATAACTAATGTTATAGTCCTAGATCATAAACGAATTTATTTAATTATAAACAGCAGTTTATAATTAATCTTCAATTATTAGCCGTTTTCTTCGCCTTCGTCTTAAACAAACATAATCTTTTTTATTTTAGATAAATCGTATTGTATTATTCATTTTGTCTCGACAACAAGTTTTAACGTGCACATTTTGCGTATGGGTCCCCTCGTATTAATTATATGCAAATAATAGAGTGTGTTTAATCCGAGCATCACAAAAACATTACATTACTAAAAGGTGCAGCAGTTCAGGGAATCTGAAGCCAAAAACTGTTCACTGACGTGTGTGACGCACGCAGAGAACGGAACTGCGCGACCTGATGACCCGGAGGCGCGGGAGGAGGTCAAAGGTGAGGCGAGAGTGCCAGAGTGATAGATGATATCAGTTGTGACAACTTGACACGCTCCGCACGCGTGTCACGGCGCACACCGCGAGGTGCTGTATGTGGGCTTCACTTGTATACCGTCGTGGAAATTATAATCCAACCCTGGGATCTGCTCCTGAAATCCACCACTCGTTCAGCTTATAAGACAATACAGTACTAATAATGGGTGAAGGGTGAAATAAACAAGCCATTTGAACAATGTAGCACGTTTACCTTTTGGCCAGCCAGCTTTACACGGGTCAGGAAAAAACGTTTGAGAGCGGTTCATGCTCTCTAAATTTTAATCGCATTAACTTCAATTGATTTATGTACAAATAACCCATGGGATAATCTTTTGACACTTCTCAATTGTGGAAATCGACTTAATACTTACGGAGAAGCTTTAAACAAAAATCAGAGCGTACCTCGAACGCATGGGTCGCCACTTTTGACTCGCCACGGCCTTGTATTGGAGGAGGCTATTCCTTGAATTTATTTGGTTGTTTTAGAGGTTTGTTACAATAATTGATTAAAATATGTAATAATGTTGACAATAATATATAACTAAAATATGATTGAATACACCGTCGCCTACTGACCGGTAAGTGCAGCAGTGCAGGTAGGGAGTACTTGGCGGCGCCGCGGCGAAGTTTGCACAACTCTGGGAAGTCGTCGTCTGCAGCTGTCTTGTCTCGGAGGAACCTGCAAAAACATTAATATAGCAAAATATATAACCATACTCAGTGAAATTTTACAGTGAGCTTCAGAAGGCTTCACTAACATCGAAGTATTAGATTAAACCATCGATGTGACCTCAATATCAAGTAATAGATTTTATACTACACTACGAACGATTAGATTTTTTTAAATTTACCTTAAATATACATGTAGGGGTTTAAAAGTACAGAGAGTAACTTATAAAATAAAATCATTTTCAAATTAGTTCTAGTATTTGTAAACAGGTGTTAGTGCAACTTACATACAACACACGGTACTAGGTACTAGGTTCCCTAGGAAATCCCTTATCTCAATTAAAAGAATAGATTTTCATCAACTAAGCGGCGAGATATTTATTTTAAAAACGAACTATGGATGTGTAACTAAATACACCCAATCTAGACAAAACTCACTATTCTCTTCCGCGTCCTGTACCCGTTGCGAAGCACGGGTGAAGATAGTATGCATGATGAAACTTGTCTACCTGGGACCGGCCCTAAAAGTAAAACCATTGGCCATTCCCCAGGTAAACGAAGGGTAAGGACCCATGTTTCATCATAAACACTATAGAAGTCTATAAAAGAAGTTCCTAAAAATAATGTTGATAAAAGATCAATGCAGAATAAAGTATTCAAAAAACAGATTTACTGTGGCAAAATACTGACTCCTGCCGAATGCGGAAACTTATCTAACCAAGCTAAACTGAAAAGACCACTAATTGTAAACTACAGCTACCTTTCGTTACATACACGATAATTACGGGGAAAATCTAATCGAGAAGATATATGACAGTAGCACACTGTGAGAGGCTTGGGTATTCTACTCGTATTTGATTTAAGAAAGTGCAAAGTGTACTTCCGTATCCAAAACTAGATTGTATTCATTAGCTCCGTACCTAAACTATGAAGAAGGCCTAGTACCTAATGTTTGTACCTATGTACAAACATTTTGTACAAACTAATAAGTAGTACTAATAGCAAGTGTACGTATACTAACTGTCTAGTCCTGCGATAGAGGTCCTGGTATTCCTCGTATTGCGTCCACCATTGACGACTAAACAGGTCCCCTGCAACATAACACAAAGCTACCAATATTGTGTCAATTAATAGTCAAACTTAAAAATACAATTAAAATAATAATTTGGCATTTTGAAAAGTTGTTTGTTTATAGTGGAAGGAGAGATTTCAAATATCGGGCTCGAAGGACCATTTTTTTGTTTAAGAATAAAATGTTATATAAAGAAAATAGAGTTAATGATTAAGATATAGAAGAGTAGGCTACTGTAAAACGAAAAAAAATGTGATGAGAAATAATTTAATAGAACCAAATGAATAATGTTGAAATAATTATATCTATCGTATAATGGGACCTCTTCATATTCAGTTCCGATTTCCCATTCCAAGATGAATCTTTCATTGGTTTAACTTTAGAACGAAATTTGCATAACCATTGTAGGAAATACACTTCATTCGTGTTCTATAGGATGACACTTCTATGGATTGTGAATGTAAATAACACCGTTCCTATATTCCACCGTCACTCTGAATGGAAATACAAATTTGTCTTCTATTTGTTCCTTCTATTAGTCAGCAATGATACACTTATACCTTCTATAGAATGGGGAAGCTGGTATCAAGTTGATTCAGTTGATGTGTCAATGTTCATGTTTAACAGTAACAACGATAGAGTTGAAAGGTCAGAAGGTGAGGTAAAATGAGGTGTCAACCCAGAGTGTGTGATACTAGGGAGGCAACAAACCAAGAAGGTTGTGTTTCAGTTGAAGTGTCATTATTGATGTTCAACGGTACCACAGAGAGAATTGAAGGTTCAGCATATCAGGTTGAAGGGGGTGTCACCTCTGGTGTATGTGATACTAAGGGAGGCAACAAACCAAGAAGGTTGTGTTTCAGTTGAAGTGTCATTATTGATGTTCAACGGTACCACAGAGAGAATTGAAGATTCAGCATATCAGGTTGAAGGGGGTGTCACCTCTGGTGTATGTGATACTAAGGGAGGCAACAAACCAAGAAGGTTGTGTTTCAGTTGAAGTGTCATTATTGATGTTCAACGGTACCACAGAGAGAATTGAAGGTTCAGCATATAAGGTTGAAGAGGGTGTCACCTCTGGAGTATGTGATACTAAGGGAGGCAGCAAACCAAGAAGGTTGTGTTTCAGTTGAAGTGTCAGTGTTGATGTTCAACGGTACCACAGAGAGAGTTGAAGGTTCAGCAGGTAAGGTCGAAGGGGGTGTCTCCTCTGGTGTATGTGATACTAGGGGAGGCAGCAAACCAAGAAGGTTGTGTTTCAGTTGAAGTGTCAGTGTTGATGTTCAACGGTACCACAGAGAGAGTTGAAGGTTCAGCAGGTAAGGTCGAAGGGGGTGTCTCCTCTGGTGTATGTGATACTAGGGGAGGCAGAAAACCAAGAAGGTTGTGTTTCAGTTGAAGTGTCAGTGTTGATGTTCAACGGTACCACAGAGAGAGTTGAAGGTTCAGCAGGTAAGGTCGATGGGGGTGTCTCCTCTGGTGTATGTGATACTAGGGGAGGCAGCAAACCAAGAAGGTTGTGTTTCAGTTGAAGTGTCAGTGTTGATGTTCAACGGTACCACAGAGAGAGTTGAAGGTTCAGCAGGTAAGGTCGATGGGGGTGTCCCCTCTGGTGTATGTGATACTAGGGGAGGCAGAAAACCAAGAAGGTTGTGTTTCAGTTGAAGTGTCAGTGTTGATGTTCAACGGTACCACAGAGAGAGTTGAAGGTTCAGCAGGTAAGGTCGATGGGGGTGTCTCCTCTGGTGTATGTGATACTAGGGGAGGCAGAAAACCAAGAAGGTTGTGTTTCAGTTGAAGTGTCAGTGTTGATGTTCAACGGTACCACAGAGAGAGTTGAAGGTTCAGCAGGTAAGGTCGATGGGGGTGTCTCCTCTGGTGTATGTGATACTAGGGGAGGCAGCAAACCAAGAAGGTTGTGTTTCAGTTGAAGTGTCAGTGTTGATGTTCAACGGTACCACAGAGAGAGTTGAAGGTTCAGCAGGTAAGGTCGATGGGGGTGTCCCCTCTGGTGTATGTGATACTAGGGGAGGCAGAAAACCAAGAAGGTTGTGTTTCAGTTGAAGTGTCAGTGTTGATGTTCAACGGTACCACAGAGAGAGTTGAAGGTTCAGCAGGTAAGGTCGATGGGGGTGTCCCCTCTGGTGTATGTGATACTAGGGAGGCAGCAAAGCAAGAAGGTTGTGTTTCAGTTGAAGTGTCAGTGTTGATGTTCAACGGTACCGCAGAGAGAGAGTTGAAGGTTCAGAAGGTGAGGTCGGGGCTCTATGCTCGTGTTTGCGAATGTGTCGCCCCCCGGAGTGCATGATAATGTGTTGTAGCAGCACAATGTAGGATGTTCCTGATCATTAACCTCCTGGAGTGGCAGAGCTGGGGGTAATGGAAATGATCTTGGGACTTGTACCCCAGGGATCACTGAATCAATGTTTAGAAAGCTGACGTAAATTGACACGTTAATTTCAAAAGAATTAAATTTGTTACTTTGTGTTATTGTGTTATTGGTTTAGGTTTGGATACAACATCAAGTAAATTTGTTTACAGGCCTAGCTTTGTGGTTCATCGTGATTGCAGGTGGTTGGCTGTAGCTTGTGGTCCCTCCTCTCCTCGTGGTTTAAATGGAAGACTCGTCATGCCTCTTTCTGAACAATCTTATTTTGTTCCTCTTCGTGTCTTCTTATCTTCTGTTCTGATGGTAAGTTTTTTTTCTGTGTGCCCATTAGTCGAGACAATCCCAAATACAGTTGGTGCTTGTGTTGGCGTGTGTGAGGGTTTTCTCAGTTGCAATAAAACCTTGTTAAGACCTCTGGGATTAGAGGACTTATAAAGTGTTGAGTGGCCAAACTCGTAGCTTCTAATCTACATAACCTCAAATATACAAACAATACAACTGTGGTCGTAATAATATGAAATCAGTTTACATCATTATTTGAAAAATATGTAAAAAAAAATTTATTATATTCCCGAGTCTATAGAGAAGATAAAGGAAGCATTTCCAAATAACCGCAAGGACGTTTCTTCCCAGTGGTTGTTTAATAAAATATTACTTTTCCTATAGGTTGAGACATAGATAAAACATATTCCCTCAGTTTCTTAGTCTATGGCTGAGACGATTAACTTTGTAACAGCATAGTAGTAATTGACAGCAACAAAGGAATTTTCATCTCCTTCTATTGTTGGATGGAGAATGTAGTAAGATGATCAGTCTAGATTTACTACAATCAGTTGTTTCTTTGAAGATCATTTATGAAAACCACCTTATGAAGACACTCCCAATGAATAACTACTTTAGCCCAGAAATAGATATACTGAAAACTGTTTTCCGCTGCAAAGGCTACAATAATAGTGACGTAAGTCAAAGATGAACGACGCGCAATGCGTTACGCATGTCGTGTGTTGGTAGGCGGAGCCGGAGCACAGCAACTGCGCAGTGAGTCGCCGACACTCCCCGCGCGGTCAATGAATGAAAGCACCACTACTTTCCCTGGGCGCGGTCCTGCGTCGTAATCGGTGACTCTGCGATTGTCATGGAGCAGCTGCTGTGACTTATTGTATCCTCGTGAAGTAAAATGCCAAAGGCGTCCGAAGGGCATTTTATCCCAAATATATCATGAAGGATATACCAGTTTTATTAAAAAGCTCCTAGACCACCAGTGTTGTGGAAAAAATACTATATATTCTACTGAAATACATAAAAGGATTTACTTTCGAAACTGTAAATAAAAAGTTCGTCACCTTTATGGAACGTTTAGGGTGTAAACTTAAAGTAAAAACCACATTTGGAAGTGAAATAAAACCCGGCCGGCTACATGTTTACGGTTTTCTAGAGATTATGTTTGCAACTGGCGTAATATCCAGTAGTAAAGTTCGCGAGGAGTTGTCGGCGGGGGCGACCCTGAGGTGAAAGTGGTAATGGTGATCGTGGGAACTGCTACGTCCCGGGGCTCTGCCCCCGTGGTGACGTTACTGTGGCGAGTGCGGTCACTCTCCTAACATCAATACTACTTTCTTTGTGTCACTTTCGCAACTATAACCTAATCCTCTAATACCGTCAAATCTAGGGATGCTGATTTGATCCGATGCGATGTCAATGTGTAAAGCTCGGACAACGAACGAAACTAAGGGGCTTTCGATAAAACTGGCATTTACTGGGTTATATTGGTCCAGACCGTCTCATGAGGTGTCGATTTATCTACTCGTCTAACTGCGACATACAATTTTGAGTGATATACAACAGCATAATCACCTGCAGGAAGTCGCAAGTTTAGTGCGTAGGCTATACTGGCAAGCCGAGTGATAATAGTGATAAGTGATTGCCTTTAAGTCAAAGGTTACTTAGGAGATCCTAAGTGGGATCGAATCAGTCCCAGGTGTCATAATGACGTTGGACTATTAGGTATTAGATTATGCTATTTTACAAAATAAAAAATAGGGTAACAGTGCCTGTCATGCAGTTGTTAACCATTTGGAACGTCATGAGCAATGATGTAACACCATAAGAGTCAAAATAGCAGTTCCGGGTTTATAACATTGAATTTCAATCTAAAAAAATTTCAACCCTTAGACCGTAACAAAAAGATATATGAATTTATATTCCTTTTAAAAAGTATTAAAACTATACTAATGTTGTTAAACCCCCAAACATAATAAACTTTACATGACAGAATGTTTGAAAAATATCCCTACGAACTCTAAACCCTGAAAATACAATGTGATTTTACCTGAATTTAAATGTAACCATTGGATTAAGGTGTCAATTGTTAACACAATTTGGTTTAAGATTAACGAAATGTTGACAATTCCTAATTAATTTGATTACTAAGGACAAGGGAAAGGCTATTTTCATTAAATATAGTACACGTATCCATAAAAATTGACTAAAAATAATTTATTGATTACATTAAAATAATCTACATCTATCTATATATTAATAGGCAAGCATGTTTCTTTAAAACCTTTTTTCTCAGCTCGTGTGCATCGTGGGGTAAATCTACGCATACCGTTAGGAAGCTATTTTCCTGT